AATATTTTGGAGAATTGTATGAAAATATATGGCTGTATATCTGCAGTGTACAGCTGAAGATAAGGTGATGTTGTTTAATTGACTTTTCTTGGTTATGACTTGAACTTAGTGTACTAAATTACACTTGTCCCAGATTTAGACATCGTTGGATCTTTGGACAAAATACTACATATTTCCGGGTTTGTGTTGTTTTTTTATTTTGTTTGTTTTTTCTCTGTGCGTTTGATTTGACGGGACAGGGGTGTTACCCGGGTGTCACAACCAGCCTGTGCATTGTAACTTTGTGTGTATTCTATGATCGATTTTAGTAGATGTCATCTGACTGAGAAGTGGAGAGGCTGACCCGGGGAAACAGACGTGATGTCATGGGCTTAACAAGAAAAATAACTTCTGGGAGGGAATTCTTGGGATCGTAGATCTACGTCCAACTGCAGTTTGTAGGCCTCTTCGCGCTTCGACAGCGATCTCTAACATTTCGCGTACACGAAAACGACCTGGTCATGGCTGAAAACTTGTATGTCGTGCACACACCCTTCAAGACAAAAAAAGTTAACTATATGTTATGCAAGGTCATCACTGCGCCGGAGTGTGTCGCAAAGCTTGGGTTACATAGCAACAGTAACAAATGTATAGTAGGCGTGGCTTCGTAGCGTCGGTCGGAACTGTGCATAACACGAGTTGCCACGAATGTAGAAAATGGGTGGAGAATTGATACTTTTGGCTGTTCCAATCGTACTTCTCGTTGTTTGCTGTTGCTGTTTGCTGTAAGTATCATATATCATTACATCTCAAGGGGTGCATAGTGTAACATAGTCTATGTTCTCGGTTGCCGTCGTAGAAAGTTTTACTGACTTTGTGTGCTGGCGATTGGGTGCCTGACTCTGAGGGTGTGGGTTCGAATCCCGGATGGGACTCAACTCAAAAAGTACTAGAATCTGTACATAACGAGAGAGTGGTTGATTTCTTTCATGGTTTTACCCACTTAAAACAATAATTCAGCAATGCTATGGTGGGGGCCACCAGAAATTAACGTGACATATTGGGATTCGAACTCTGGTCTCTGGCATAACACAGTACCGCTTTAGATACCCGACCACCTACCCTGCATCTCAGGAAATGGTGAGATGGAAATCTGCCTTGATTGATAAACCCCTTTAGAAATACAACTGTAATCAACTGTGTACGTGAAACGGGCTTCACTGTAACCATGTAAGGATTCAAACCAATGACTAGGGAAAGCTTTATCTACTGGGTACCCCAGTACCAATTATGTGATAACATGTAAGTTAGTTAACGGTTTGTTCGTTTGCTTATAGTATTCTTTTCTATTTCAGACACAAAGTGGATCCCAAAAATGCGGGTCGCATCATTGTCGATCATGATTATTATAATATGGCTTAAGAAGGATTTTATGCTTTTTACCCGAATGTGTTCGATAGACCAAGCATCAGACCATTACCTAATAATACCAGTATAACCATACCCACATGTGTTCGATAAGGATTGGAAAGCCACATTAACTCGGTGCGCCTAATGGCTGCAAGAGTTGTATGAACTCCAGGGAGTTGAGATTGATAATTCGATGTACCGTTGAGACTGACATCCAATGATCGAGGGGGAAAATACCAGCGTCTTGAGCATGTACAAGTTGCGTGCCTATGTGCGCTATATCAATATCCCATAATAATATATTATAATTATAATAATAATGATAATAATAATAATTTTCTGTCCCTTTTGACAGCAATGTGATTGACAAGATTCAGGAAAAGCATGATAATTTTGCGGACCTCGCCGGCCTTTCAAATGTCTCGCTTGCATCCCAAGTACACTGTCGTCAGGCTCCCCATTGTTCTCGGTGCCCTTGGTTTGGTACCTCCTGATCTCTTGGCGCAGATCAGGGAGTGCCCGGGTTCTCCACCGGGAGCACAGCCCTTCTGACACTCTGGGTAATGCAGAAGGCTGCAGTGTTGGGGAGCCTTCATATTCTCCGGAAAGTTCTTGGTGGGTTCGACTAGGCAGTGTTTCCTGGGAGAAGTCCCATTCACTGTCTGGGCTGCGTATAGAGGGGGCGAGGGCCCTGAGCTGATGATGAGCCTTACCAGCCTGACTGTGCCAGGATCACCCGAACCCTCTCTGCTGCATTTTCATCTTTAATCTGTAAAACATAATAATAATAATAATAATAATAATAATAAATTATTTATAACTGTCCTAATACTCCAAAATAAACATTAAACAAATAAAAATATATATATCACAAATGCACCACTTAATAACGGATGTAACGATATCAAAAGGACCACTAATTTTAGCTCGTTATAACTGTAGTTCATTATACGAATTTTGACTAAAATGAGCAGTGGTCGGGAAAAGGAAAAAATGTTTGATATATCATTTTGTTTTAAGCATTTTGGTTATAAACACGCAAACCAAGAATTCTTTCCGAATAGGGAATATCAAACTGTGAAACAGTTGATAAGCACGTTGTTCCCCGTATTCAAAAGTATGAAATACTAGAAGGGACATTGTCGCGTTGTCACCCGTACAAAACGATCAAAAAGTGGCATGATTAACCAAACTGTGACAATACGACCACGCGACATTTTGACCAACTGTCGCTCTGTCGCGCATTTTAACGTTTTGTTTACACATCTTAGATAGGATGTCAACGCGATATAGTTTGACATTGAAAACTGTCGCGATGTCGCATTGTCGCCCTTTCGTTGAAGAACAAATATTTTAATATTTCATATTTCAAACCGCGACAAATGGCCAAAATGTTGCATTGTCGCGCTTCCGTTAATTTTGCCATCTTTTTTTTAGCCATACAAACGCACCAAGAGAGAGAGAAAATAGTTTTTAACAAAAGAGCGTTTCGTAGCATATTATCAACACACCACGTGTGTTTGTTGGTGTTCTATATGATGAAAGGGGAGGGGGGGCTTAATGAAGGAGCATGTACAATTTGAATCACACACACACACCACACACACACACACACACCTAAAAGTTATACAAAACATAGTGACAAAAAATGAAATGGAGTGTTAGGATCCGGTTGTATCATTGCTTCATTAAGTAAAAGCTACATTAAACCCTAATGATGCATTAGATTTTGTGACTGACATCATTAAAATCGGCTGTGTCAAACACTTATTAGCATAACATTGTCTAACGAAGTCCTAATGTAAACTTTTTCATTAACCTGTCATTAAATTCCGGGATTCCCGTAAATATTTCCAGTAAGCCCAACAACTCAACAAACTGTCCCCTGAAGCAAAAAGCAAGGACCTCGTTGACAATCTTTCCCTCACAGATGATGCTTACAGAATGTTTTCGCCTTTTTCGTCTTGTAAGTATTTATCAACAGCAAAAGCACGTGTCAGTTTGGCTGTGGGACTTTATAATATATACTTTGTTAGCTTCTCATGTTTCTATCCTGAAGGAACGCAGTAAGAATAGCGCCGAACACAAGTTAAACCAGTAATATATGTACAATACATTATTATCCATGAAATGCAAATATTGATTGCGCGAAGACAAGGACGATTCATAATTTAATACTTGGCGTAATGTTTCTCGTTAAAGGCACAATATCACATATTTTCCACAATATTTGGCCTATAGTATATATACTGGGGCATACGCACTATTTTTAGCTTCCTATTGATGCAATAAACGACGTATTTACCGTTACGACTTGCCTGAAATCGATAATTGAAACTTCGAGGCGAACAGCTTCCAAACAAAGTACTCTTGCCATATATGGAGTGTAAAAATTTGCTCCGTACATCGAAAACAGTCGCGAGCGGTGTTGTCGTTGTTTTCCAAACTGGTTTCAATCACAAGTTGTGTGTAGGATATTCGGAAAGAGAGCTCTAAGGGACATAACTCTATGGGGCTCGCTTGAAATAATGTTCAGCCGGTACAGGGCGCTAGAGTGGCTTTAGTGCAACGTTGCATGAATGTGTTTTGTATCGATGAGCTCGTATCGCGTAGCTGACACCGCTACTTACAATGTGTAGTAATAACAGAGTTAGGCCCCCCTTACAATGTGTAGTAACGACAGAGTTAGTCCCCACTTACACTGTGTAGTAATAACAGAGTTAGTCCCCACTTACAATGTGTAGTAATAACAGAGTTAGTCCCCACTTACAATGTGTAGTAATAACAGAGTTAGTCCCCACTTACAATGTGTAGTAATAACAGAGTTAGTCCCCACTTACACTGTGTAGTAATAACAGAGTTAGTCCCCACTTACAATGTGTTAGTCCCCACTTACAATGTGTAGTAATAACAGAGTTAGTCCCCACTTACAATGTGTAGTAATAACAGAGTTAGTCCCCACTTAATCCACAATGTATTGCTCGTGTCATTGACTGAAAGAAATTTGAAGTCTGAAGTAGAAAAATACTTTTTTGTTAATATGTTCAAACCGATATGTTTCATCACAGTGTAAACAAAGTCAACAACTTATTTGTCCTGCATATAAAGACAAACACCAATATAACAGCTTCTGTATAACAACCAAGACCTCTCTCACATCTGGAATATGGTTTAAGCCGGTTTATAAAGAAATCAAAGGTTTCAGTATAATACGTGATGGGTTATAAATGTACATACACTGCAGATTGAACTATGTCTTAATGGAATTTGTAAAAACAAAACATGCTGCTATGAGATGAAAACGTTCGATACGACGATACGTATATGGTTATTTTTTGTAACATCATTCTGGGACATTTAAGAGCATTTGTTTGCTCAAAACGATTTACATGGTATGAGTGAGTAAGTTAGTTTACTTTTACGCCGCTTTCAGCAATATTCAAGCAATAACACGACGGGGGACACCAGAAATGGGTTTCACACTATGTATCAATGTAGGGAATCGAAGCGGGTCTTCAGCGGGACGAGCGAACGCTTTAACCGCAAGACTACCCAACCGTCCCTTCTTCATTGGGCTTATCAAATAATCGAGGAAAAACATAAAATTCAAATAATATATACATTTCATATATTCATTGAATGGCATGGTACAAAAATCAGCATACCTATCAGTATGAGTCTACATCGGGAGTTAAGGTAACAGTTACTATGTTATTATACTCCCCATCAAAAAGTTAGACTCACTATTGAACATGTAGCCACTTACTTCAGGAAACTGTTCTGAACTAAATTTTGCAAAATATTCCATACTGTTTAAAGGTGCTGTTTATACATGAACTGATGTATTGTAAAACAAATTCATGACGTTGAAAAGATTATTGTCATGCGTTCAATAAACAATGAAACTCGGTTAAAATGGCGAATTCTTATCAAAACTTTACACCAAAACGCAGCTGTTCACATGCACGATATTTGAATATACTTTTCAGCAGTTTGATCCATGATCCTCGTGCAATTAATCTGCAAAACGTTTGTTCCCCAAGTTAGTGGAGACATTCTTCTTCGTTGTAACCATATATACATACATAACATATAGTGAATGTTTTAAGCGAATCTAAACTTTTGATGGGTAGTATATTTGGGTATTTGATTGTTCCCGAGGGCTAGCGGCTTGGAAACTTCATTCGCTGGGGTCAGGCAGCTTCTTGTGCGGGCGGGTTCACTCCACCTTGTGGGGGTGGGTATGCTGCATTTTGTGGGGGCGGGTACGTTCCCTGCTTCTCTGTGGGATAGGCTGCTTGAGTGTAGGCTGGAGCCGGCGGGTATGCCCCTGGAGCCGGGGGGTATGCTGCTGGAGTCGGTGGGTATGCTACTGGAGCCGGACCATATCCAGGAGTGTTGGCTGCGTTTGTTGTGCCTGAAAAGGACATGAGTAAGTGAGTGATCGAGTTATACAGTAGGCTGTGAGTATCGAAACATAAGAACTGCCGATTATACGTACCTTTACCACGTAAAATGGGTCTGAGGTGTAATGATGTCATTCGTGTATGAACTGGCACCCGTGACGTCATTTTGCATTTGGCATAAGCTTTGGAGTCTTTAAGATGGAACTAGAACTCTCAGTAAATGTGTAAAACCTCAAAAATAAATGAGTGACTTGTGATATCTGAACTGCTGGGCTATGAAACTGCCACATGAATACTTTTTTATATTGAAAACGTGTCAGACAAAAAGGTTTATTTTCGTGTAACCGTGGCCTTTCAACAAATCACAGCATGATTTGCCACGCCGTGTTGAATTCTTTGAGGTCTTTCCGGAGCTCTTAAAACATCTTAACGTTGACCATAACGTTTATTTTTACTATTAAGTGTACAGTGCCAACAATCAGATTAGATCATCTTCCGAAACAGACTCAAACAGCAAAATAGTGGTGACAATTATACGAACGAATCACCGAAAAACCTGTGACTGCACCAGGTGTTCGTGAGTGAGTGAGTGCGTGAGTTTGGTTATACACCGCTGTAGCAATATTCCAGCAATATAACGGCGGGGGACACCAGAAATGGGCCTCACACATTGTACCCATGTGGGGACTCGAACTCGGGTCTTTGGCGTGATGAACGAACGCTTTAACCACTAGGCTTCCCCACCGCCCCAGGTGTTCGTGAAAATGTAGGCATGTCCTTGTCTGACTGTGACGTCACAGTGTCTGCTTTACACTGTGCAGTGTTGAACCAAACGTTGCAAGGTTTGCGTATTCTCAGAGATGGTCACTTCGTGCTGATGTACGTAGTTTGGTGAAAATCCAGCGATCAACAGCATGAGCGTCAATCTGAGAAATTGGGATACAATGACATGTGTCAACCAGGTCAGCGAGCCTCACCACCTGATCCCGTTAGCCGCCTCTTACGACAAGCATGGATGAAGTAGTAGCTTGGCTACACACTTACTATGTTCAAACACATTAAGCGCCATTGTTTGAAGAAATGTTTTCATCGAAATTGACAGGTTAAGCTAAATACAATGCTATTTATTCTCCACATTATTTATACAGATTTTTATTCAATAAATAAATAGGGATTAGTGAACAAGCTGTTACAGCTTATGTTAACACCGCTCCCATACCACATGGTACAAACTGTAAGTCAGAACATATATACATTATTATACGAGGTAACAATTGCATGTTATACAGAAACACAGAAGTATGATAACAACAATATCTGTGATGTGTATTTGTACACATATTTTTATTTAGTAAAGGGTCAGCAACAGTTAGGTGGATGTAAATATTAATTGGTGATACGTTTTTTTATGGAAGTTACTTTCTTATGTAATTTTGTGATAAAATTGTGGATTGATTCCAGAATTTTAATATTTTCAGAAGTACTGTATGCGTCTCCATGTGTCTTGCCTACTCTTTACATAATCAAACTGAGCGGCACTGAATATATTCAGATGGTTCCAGTGGGAAGATCACATTGACACGGAGCTACACGTATAATATATACGTATTACTAAACAGATCAACAAAGAATAAGTTTGTGATACATGCATTACTGTCTTCTTGAGGTTTTAGTTTCTTCCTATATTAACCTTCTTGGTCCTGACTTGGTTTGTCTGCAGCTTCGTGGGTTGCCTTGCAGTCTCTCATTCGCACCAAAATCTTCACAAACCTGTAATTTAAATGGAAACTTGTTACAGAGTGAGGACGTTTTAGTTTCTTCCTGTATTAACCTTCTTGGTCCTGACTTGGTTTGTCTGCAGCTTCGTGGGTTGCCTTGCAGTCTCTCATTCGCACCAAAATCTTCACAAACCTGTAATTTAAATGGAAACTTGTTACAGAGTGGGGACCTGTATATGTACTCGTTGACCTTCGGGACTGTTCTCAAGATTACTGGGCATGCAATGATGACCTTTTTCCCAGAACACCCAGTGTCCTCAGAGATCCATTCATGAAATAGACCCATTCACTGCTGTTTTGCGTTTGCGCTTTAATAAATGTAATTAGTTTACTCGGATAATATAGCACGTTATTCTCTGGCGTTCAAGTTTTTTGTATTTACATTGAATGGCGCGTAAACGTTGGACAAGGACCATCTCTTGCGTATAAACAAGTGTCAAACAACATCTTTATTCCAAACAACAGAGTTGGCGTTTCGGTCATTAGGTGATTAGTTTTACAGTTCTCGCATTGGATGTTTGTCCTCAGTACTTGTGTATGTTATAACACTTGGTCTTAGCTTTTATACTTAATTATCCCCTACTTTATTAGAGACTATTTCGTGTACTAACCTTTCAATTTTTTCATCCAGCCAATCCTTGTGAATAAGTTTAGACACCCATGACACCGGAAGTGCAGACATTCCTAACTTACAGCCAAGGAGAGCTCCAGCTACAGCACCATTTGTGTCAGCATCCCCTCCCTGATAAAGATAAAAGAATCATTTAATTAAAGATTACGTTCATACGCATAGAATACACTCAGTACGGACTAGTGAGAGAATGAATTTAGTTTTACACCGCACTCAGCAATATTCCAACTATATGGCAGCGGTCTGTCAATATTCAACTCCAGTGATGAGCACAGCATGAGCATCGATCTACGCAACTGAGATACCATGACATGTGTCAACCAAGTCCACGAGCCTGACCAGATCCCGTTAGTCGCCTCTTACGACAAGCATGGATTGCTGAAGATCAATTCTAACCCGGATATTCACGGGTAGGGAGCAGATAGGCAACAGAAACCGACTTTTCAATCTGAAAATCCCTAATCTTCACCTCGGTATACTAAGAATATTTGTCAGTGTGCCAACGAAGGAAATATCATGGCTACCACCAACCTCCATAACGATTGTCTGCAGTGCCTTCCTGAAGTCCTTCTGCCTCAGAGCCCAGAACCCGCAGCCCATACACTTGTAGGTGTACCCGATCTTTCTCTCCTCGCAAAGTTCCAGGTTTTTTATCTTCTTACACTTAAGGTACTTGTTCAGCTCCTTTTTCTGAAAATTATTTTTTTTTAGGAATTGGTAAAAATTAGATGATATGAGACATTCACATTCACAGACGCACATGTACATGCACACGCACATGCACAGAGGCAGGCACACACACATATGCGTCTTGTAAATGAGTAAGAAAATGTTTCCCTACAATGTGTAGAACATTGACAAGGGCATTGGGGTTGCTTTGTGGTTAAAGTGTTCGCTCGTCATGGTCTGGGCCCAGGGACGATTGCCAACATGGGCACTATGTGAGAAGCCAATTTCTGGTGAACCTCGCAGTGATATTGCTGGAATATTGCTATAAGTGGCATAAAAGTTAACTCACTCAATCACTCTTACGATATACAAAAGGAAATAATCACCCGATGGTTGATGCAGTTTTAAAAACACTAATATTCTGACCAGTTTCACAGCCTGAACTCCATAACGATTTTCTGCAGAGCTTTCCTGAAGTCCTTCTGTTTGAGCGCCCAGAAGCTGTATTATTGCAATCACTCACGAGCGACCTCCCACACAGTTGGTACGATGACTTGGATTCAGCCGACAGACCGACTCTCTCGACTTAGCTCCCTTTGCTATGTGGATCACTGTGAGTATACTCCAACTGGGTCATTTATTCCCAGTTACAGTGGGGTTAAAAGCAACTAAAACAAAACTTATAACCACCTGCTCGTCTGTCTCCAAACACTTGGAAGAAGCCACATGGAAGCACTCCTGTATAATCTTGTCGATGTCGTAGTTACCGTTCTTCTTGAGGTGTTGGGGCTGCCTCCTCAACATCAGGCTGATGGCGACGGACACCGCCACTGTCGAGGCCTGACACCTACAGTGAATAGTTGGTTGTTTAAGCAAAACTCAGCGATATATTCAGTCTATATGAGGTGGTCTGTAGGTATTCGAGTCTGGACCAGACTTTTAAGAAAAAGTGTGATAGTGTAAGCATAATTGCTGTATATCGAGCAGGGTTACACAAACGAGCTTCAAACTTTGTATCAGGGTTTGGGGTCTTTGAAGAGATAAGATTCTAGGAAGGCATACACAGAACTTATTAGTGAGTTTAGTTTTACGCCGCTATAGCAATAATCGAGCAATATCACGGCGGGCGACACCAGACACGGGCTTCACACATTGTACCCATTTTGGGAACCGAACCCGGGTCTTCGGCGTTACGAGCGGACGCTAACCACTGGGGTACCCCACCGCCCTTAGGACTCATTAAGAAGACTCAAATACTATGATTCTATTTGTGATTTTTTAAAGTTGAATCGATAATCTGCTGCATCTGTGCCAGCTCAAGATGTAACATGTCTCAGTATTGTTGTATTCCTAGAATTGACGTCCTCATGACGGCGCCATTAGAAGCGATGTCTCTACCACGTTAACGTTGTACCCACACACACTCAGCGTGGACTTACCTTGGATCATAATGGGTCGTCTTACATATAGCAATGGCGTTGTCAGCCACGGCGTCAGTGTCCCAGTACTGGTGTATCCCTAGAATTGACGTCCTCATGACGGCGCCATTAGAAGCGATGTCTCTACCACGTTAACGTTGTACCCACACACACTCCGCGTGGACTTACCTTGGATCGTAATGGGTCGTCTTACATATAGCAATGGCATTGTCAGCCACGGCGTCAGTGTCCCAGTACTGGTGTATCCCTAGAATCGACGTCCTCATGACGGCGCCATTAGAAGCGACCTTTCTACCGGTTCTATCCCAGAGACCAAACGCTGCCTGAAAAGTACAATATTACCATGGAAGACGATGAAACGCGTATGGATGTAATTACGTTAAAAACCTTTTTCAATGTTGGTCGAATTAAGCAGGTAAACATAAGAATGTATTATACATAAATGATTTTCTTGGAAAGTGAACCAGATGTGTTGAATTTAAAAGTTTCTTGAAAAGTTATCCTTGAATCATGTACTGCAAGGTAGGTGCAGGATACTATATTCACCTATGTGTGTGAGTTTAGTTTTACGCTGCTTTTAGAGATATTCCAGGATTATGACGTTTGTTACGTGTGAGTAATGGGCTTTACAGATAATACCCATGAGGGGAAACGAAACCGGGTCTTCAACGTGGACAGCGAACGGATACCCCACCGCCCCATAATCACCTAAGTATTACCTCATGTGGCTGAGTCACAAACTCGGGGTTAGACATAACTTTCGCTGTTGTGGTACCAATTCCATGGCCGACGAAGTCACCGAGTTCGGGGAAGCCATTCCGAGACCAAAACTTTAACTTTCCTGCAAAATCCTCGGGTTTAACCTGTGATAGATAATATGAGAGTTAATTGTTTACTGTATGGATGTAGGTCGAGTATTGTCATGTGCTCCACACTGAAGACGATTTGTAGGTGAGGTGAAATTGGGTTTAACGTCGTGCTTGAGAATATTTCGCTCATATGACGACGTGCATGCGTGTGTATGTGTGGCTGCTTGTACTAGCCCAGACTTAAGCTGGTTTTATAGTGCTAGCCCACCGACATACCATGCCGCAGTGAAGCAGGAATACCCAACTCAGACACAGTATACTGACTCCGAGCCAACCAGTCCTTGTTGTACCCATTAATGCCGAGCGCCAGGCAGGGACCAACAAGTACCATATTTTAACGTCTTTTGGTATGACGCGGTCGGGGATCGAACCCGCGACTTTCCGCTCTCCGGGCGGACGCTCTAACCACTACACCACGGAGGCGGTCGAAGACGACTTGCAAGAGTGAGTGAGTGAATTGGGTTTAACACTGTTTTGAAAAGTATTTCAGTTTTACCGCGCTGAGTCATCTTGATGCGGAGGAAACCCGAAGTGATGCATGAACGTATGAAACAGGTGTTTGTTGCAGACAAGCCAAGAAACATGATCTGGGCAAATCGGGATTCGAATAACTCATCTGTCCATCATTGTCTATAACACACACTGGGGGAATTATATCTCACCTGTCCATCATTGTCTATAAGACACTGTAGAATGAGTATCATCTGGTCCGTGTCATCGGTCCAGTCACCTTCCTTAAACCGTTTTCTGTGAGCTTCAGGAGATAAACTTTTGTGTTCCAGTTCGAGGTGCTTTTCAACTTCGCGGTATTTCTGATTTCAAGAATTTGACACTTTGGATTCCCGAAATTAAATTATGAACATGAATTTGGCATATTTGCTATTAGTTATATACTGTTTTCCAGATGGGTTTTAAAGTTACTTCCACGGTTATTTACCACTTGAATACCCTGTCATGATTATGAAAATTATAATCGAATACTTTATAAAAGTACCTCTTTAGCCTCCTCTTTAGTGAGGAACTCGGTCAGCAAACCAATAGCATCCCCCACAGCCTGACCGTATAGAGTCGCCAGAATTTGATTCCGTGGGTAGCCGGCTGTAGCCCCAGGGGTGGAGGCCTGTATGAAATGTAATGTTATACTCAATACTGTATTTCACATTCTAGGAAATATGTGTTGTCAACACTTACGTTTCCTTTATGAACACATATATAGGCACCCGTCATTAAAAAGATGTCGGTAAATTTTATCTCGATTGTCAGCAGTTTCATAAGTTGGTTTACAAATCCGCGGCAGAAAACATAAAAAATACACTATTTTCTTCTTAAGCCTAGTCTAAAAAAACCTAGCTAAAACAGAACAGCAAAGAATAGGAGTGAGTGAGTTTAGTTTTACGCCGCACTCAGCAATATTCCAGCTATATGGCGGTTTAACCAGTTAAAGCACGGGGACGCTTGCGTGCTTTATCACACTTGCTGTCTGACGGTGTAAAACATAACGGTAATGTTTCCAGACGATAAATCTAAGGCAGAAGACGAACAGAAAAGCGACGGTGTCCTGACCTAAATGAACAATCCTCGTTCAGGGCTAACTGAAGCGCTGTACTTTTGAGCTGAGTGAAGCAACTGCAAACCAAGAAACGGGATGCAATGGAGTAGTTTACTCGTAGGAGGTGATGACGGGACTTCCACATGCATCGTGACGTCGGTTACATTGTGACGTAATGCAAATGTGTTCGATTACGAGGGCAACAGAGTTTACAGACTAGAATGGCGCAGTGACGCAATGCAAAAAAAGTGTATTATTATCCTGTGAGAAAGTATTTTCGGCGCCTTTGATCTTTCACCGAAGCATCTTATAATTAGAATACAAATTTCAGCCGATCCACACCACATGCCTACAAGATAACTTTAAAAAGATAGTTCGTACAGAAAATATTAAGTCCAAGTGTATTGAATAGAAATGTATAACTGCGTTATGCTTATTTCAAGGGCGAATTTACTCTCGTATTATCATCCCGTCAATTTGAAAATAGCTGGACTGTCGTCTCAGACGTCTGGTCTTTAAAATGCATAATCGCGTGTATTAAATATATACCTTTGTATTATATTACCTGTTCACAGCACCGATATTGGTGAGAAACTAGTCAAACTACAATTGATAATATAAGGTTGAGCGCATTAATCTTGCTACAAAGTATACAATTCTTAGATAGAACATCAGATAGAGTCACTCATAAAATGTCGAGTCGAGTAGAACCACTCACCGCTTCGGCCATCGCTATTAATAGATTGGATGCGCTACATCGCCACCACTAAACAAGATGATGCATTCATGCTGGGTTGCATTTGATGGTGGATGACCGTCTCTACCAGTTGTTGCTCAAATGTTGCCATAGTATATGGGCAACGTAGTGTAGATAAAACATCTACAAGTCTGGCATATCCATCGTTGAGCATCTCAAACCGAAGTGTTTGTGGATAATCTAAGGAAGGGAGGTAACTTGCGTGTTCATATCTGACAAACCTCCAGAAAATTGTCATTCACAACTGTTAGTTTTTATTTTTCTTCGATTACATCTGATGACACAAATTCTGTTCCACTTAAAAGTAATCCATGTACATTTACGATGATAGTTTACCTCAATAACTAGTGAGGTGATGATGATGTTTGGAGATTTAACGTGCGCTTGCCGACATAATGGGTAGATGGGGTAGCCTAGTGGTTAAAGCGTTCGCTCGTTACGCCGAAGATCCTGATTCCCCCCACATGGGTGCAATGTGTGAGGCCCATTTCAGATGTCCCCCGCCGTGATATTGTTGGAATATTGCTAAAAGCGGCGTAAAATCATACTCACTCACACTTATACTGCAGAAATGTGAGACGTTTCAAGCTATCATCTTGTCAATATACCTGACAGGGTTGCGTCAGTGCCTATGATCGATGTGCCTTGTGCTTTGATTCATGAACTGATGAAGAATGCCATTTTCGCTGATTAACATTAATGATTCTATCTGTAAAGATACATTCCCTGCCCCGGAACTATGTGATCATTTGAATGTATTGATTAATTTCTTGACAATCAGAAACAAACGGTACAGCATAATGTACCACATGAAAGGTTTGTAGAGATTCGTTAGCTCAAATGGTGACACACGTCGTGTCAAATCCATCCCAGCCACAGAAACCTCGTAATATTTCACGTCCTTTTGTATCATCTTCACAAATGAAGATGTTAGCAATTACCAAACATAATTCAGCGACACGTGGCATTTTGACAGATGACAAATGAGCGAGTTTTACGCCGCATTTACCAGCATTCCAGCAATATCACGGCGGGGAACACCAGAACTGGGCTTCACACATTGTGCCCATGTGGGGAATAGAACCCGGGTCCACGGCGAGCGTACGCTTTTCCCACTAGGCTACCCCACCGACCATTACTGGTGTCTCCCTCCGTGATATTGCTGGTATATTGCTAAAATCGGCGTTAAACCATACTCACTCACTCATCGAAGACGTGATTAACTAACTCTATGAAACAAATCAATCTGACATGAAATTGGGGTTTAAGATTTCACGTATCACTGCTGAAAATATGCTTTCAGGTCATGGTAACATGCACCTACCTGTAGTGTCATCAAGAAGTATAGCCGCGTTTCAATCTCCAAAGGGCGGTGGGGGTAGACTAGGCGTCCGCTCGTCACGCTGAAGACCCGGATTCGATTCCATACATGGGTACAATGTGTGAAGCCCATCACTGGTGTTCCCCACCGGGATATTGCTGGAATATTACAAGCAGCCTAATACCATTCTTACTCACTCACTCACTCATTCACCGTCACATTAGGAACATCCCAAGTGGCAGTATCGAGCGCCGGAATACAAGCACCACTTGGTGCAAAGAAAGGATAAAAAATTTGGACGTGAAACGTAAATAAAACCATGAAATCAGGTGCAATTTGCTACATGGTAACCGCAGCGAACGCACGTTCATTGAAATGCAAACGCACAGCTATTGTTAAAAATTCAGGTTTGATAAAAAAAAAAGGGTCGAATATACCGAGACTCACAAATCAGGAACGGGAGAGGTGTCATTGGTAGGCCTAATGCTTGCTAATCCGTTGCTGCTCACATGTCCTTAAGCTGTGTTTTGTCCGGCTACTACACACCTGGGGCGGTCAGATCGTATCTCCCTAAGGAACTATGAGCTCTGTTTATTTCATGTTTACTGATGTTGTGTGGAAATGTTATCCCGATTATTAGACGTTGAAACACATTCCTCAAATAAATATAGTTCTAATTAATAACTGGCAGTCATTTTGGTTTAAATATATTTTTATTTCAAAGAAATCTTGATCGGTAAATAAGCAAAATTTGCTTATGTAAATACTTCTCCAGGTAATGTGTTGACACGGCTGGTTTGTACTCATACTGGCAGTAGATAGTGCTAAACATAATGTACCATTGCACAAAGAAAATACATAAAGTCAGTGGTGTCTGCGGAAAAGTATAATTATGCAGTCATCCTTTCTATGTAATCTTAAAATTGCTAAAATCTTTTGCTTTTGACGATAAGATCGTGAACTGACTGAATGAAGTCAATTGTGCAACGACTGACTGAACTATGGCCATAAAGTATTGATGTCAGGTCATACCCATGTATGTAAAAGTACATGGTCTTTCTGATATTACCCGTGAAGATCCGGGTTAGAATATTGATCTTCAGTAACCCATGCTTGTCGTAAGAAGGGACTAACGGGATCAGGTGGTCAGGCTCGCTGACTTAGTTGACACATGTAATCGGTTCCCAATTGCGCAGATCGATGCTCATGCTGCTGATCACTGGGTTGTCTGGTTCAGACTCGATTATTTACAGACCGCCGTCATATAGCTGGAATATTGCCGAGTGCGGCGTAAATCTAACTCACTCACTCACTCTGTCTGATATTATTGTATTTGGTGCAGGTAAAGACAAAATAAGTTGTATCCTCAAAATGATACCCGTATGTGCAGCCTTTGTTTCTGATCCATGGTGCCCAAACTTATCAGCGTACAAGTCACTGCAGCCGAGTTTCAGGCGACAGTGGACAATTTTTTTAATTGTTGAAATGTTCAAATGACTGGTCAGTGATCACACTTCGTAAGCGTACCATTGAAACCATAAAACCTGACATGCCAATTAAACGCTTCGTTCGATAAGCACGAGATGCTTGTCACATAATTTAGCCTTAAACTTGCACTTTAATATATTTTTCTAATTTGTACACCTTTGTAATGGGTCCTGGAAATCGGTAAACAGTACAACTGTTGTAGATGATTTTAAGAGACATAATGATGATGTCGAATTCGATGATGTCCTTCTGTAGAATCGTCTCACAAATCGTCTAACTATTTTCTTAAAATGTCAAGCGGTAATGTTTCTCACCTGCATAACCCGCGTGTTTCATTGATTTGTCTGGGAATGTGCTGGGAATGTCCTAAATGAACCGATTATTGATATTGTTTACACGTATTACTGAAAATGTTCAAGAGAATATTTCTATTCTGAATGCGTTTATAGATTCATAACAACCTTTTCTGTTACATATCCTACCAATATGTCTCTTCTTTATATATTCTTTCATTACAAATGCTTTGTATTTTAATAAAACGTATTAGAAGATATACTTTCTCAACATCATTAAGTCTGTTTAGTTGTGTTTAAAGTTATCTTATCAACGTTATGTTTTACATGAAGTTTCAGATTGGTTACTTACAGTTGCTTCAAAATAACACATTGATCAACAGCATGAGCATCTATCTGCACAATTGGGATACGATGACATGTGTCAACCAAGTCAGCGAGCCTGACCACCCGATCCCGTTAGTCGCCTCTTATGACAAGCATGGGCTACAGAAGATCAATATTCTAACCCGGACCTTACGGGTTAAAGTGATTATGATGAAAATTTCTTGATCTACATAAAATGAGCGACCACTGACTGCGTTGAATAAATTAGTCTTTGACACCAAACATAAATATGTGATGACCAATTACTAACGACAGCTCAGCCAGAAACCAAAGCAACAACGTTAGACAGTTATTCGTGGACTTCACTGGGCAACTAAAACCGGTTAATTACGTACGGATTTGCTGACGCAGATTTCTCTTTATTCTGTCCATAATAGACGCTTACAGAGAGAATAATTTGTGATGTGAAAAAAATAGATACTTATTAGGGCGCGGAGCTACAGATTATGCTATAATTACGTTTTCCTAGCAATTTGGCTAATTAGCCCCTAGAAAGAAAAGTATGGAGGGTATACCCAGATCACCTGCCTAACACTCTCCCACATTCCCTAATTAGCACAGAGCCAAGGTGAAATGGGAGGACATAGGTATAGATTTCCCTAGGATGAATACGCCCAAAGTTACAAAATGATCACCGTTTTCTCCAATTATCTCTTTAACGATGTTCATCAAATGGAACTAATATGATGTTATTCGTTTCTGCTGAGACTAAGAGAAATTATCCATAGTTGAGCGAGTACTTTGTCTTACTAAAGGCTATCGGATAAGTTTTGTATGATTATGATGATCTCTTATGAAACAACATCATATTTGATTAATTGAGTGAGTATGGTTCAACGCGACTATTGACGATATTCGAGCGTGGTACAAATTCCTGGGATTTGAAATAACAAGCAAACACCTTAACCTAAACTACATGTCCCCTGCCGCCTCTAAAACAAACCAGAAACAATGTGTAATAAATGAGTTGACGGTTAAAGATTTAGTTGGTTTGTTGTTTAACGCCGCACTCAGCAACATTCCAGCTGCATGGCGGCGGTCTGTAAATAATTGAGTATGGACCAGACAATCCTGTGATCAGCAGCATGAGCATAAGTGTTTTCCGTTAACCAATGTTCCGTTATAGCCAGAATGTCACAAGTATCAGCAATGTTTTCAAGGTAATCACTGTTATACATTGCACCACGTATATTCCATGTGGAAATGCAAAGCATGATGATGTAGTATATGAGACGTACAGCCATGGTGAATACCTAGTATTTTCTGCTTTGTCCTGACTTTGAGTAAGGTATCCATTCTCTACATTTAACATATTTTGGCCAGAAGTTTTCATTTTCTGTTATCAGTTTGGCATTCCTGCTGTCTACGTTCACTCTTAAAGTGTAAGTTGGAGTCGGACCCTCCCAGAGTTTCTGTAGTCTCACACTGGTCACATGCAGTCAGCAACATTCCAGCTGTATGGCGGCGGTCTGTAAATAATTGAGTATGGACCAGACAATCCTGTGATCAACAGCTTGAGCATCGATAATGCTGACAAAAGCACACCATGGATGTTCTTGGGACCAACGATCAGCACATTATCTCTGACTGCATGTGCAACATTTTCTGAAGACACTGGCATGAATATTGTTCTTTGTCAGACCAGGATGAAACACGGCATCCTTTGGAGTGAGTGAGTGAGTTTG